TATTAATCAAATATACAAACATAAACATATATGTAAATTAATTGATTTATACTACTTACCAATAAAACCCTCATGAGTCTTGATTAAAATTTTATCATTGTGATGCAAAACATGTTCTTCTCTTGGCTCCAGAAGTTTTTCATTGATAAAAGTTCTTTTGTTTGAACCATTTTTTATAAATGATTCATAACCTAAACCTTTAATATTTGTTTTCCTCTAATGGGATTGATTATAATGATAATAATATTATTATTAGAAATGATAATAATTTTAATATTGCATATAATAGATATGTATGATTAATTAAGTTATTGTTACTTACAATTAAAATTTCACAATGTAATCTTGCAATATATTGTGGTTTATTAATAATTATATTGCATGATCTGTCATGGCCGATGGTTATACAATTTTTGAATTCTGTTATATTAGTTCTTTGATTTTGATATATAACAGATGAGATTGTTTTGGCTTCCATTTTTGCAATCTCAGCCTTATATTTTAATATTTTTCGGTGTCGTATCTCAAGTGCGAGATCATAGTGACTGTTGCTGTTATTATTATTATTATTATTATTATTAATATATTATTATTATTATTATTATTATTATAATAACTAGAGTGACGATGAGTGGCGACCACCACCACCACTCTTATGATAAATACTTACTCATGATCCTCAGCAATTGTGTTTGAATGATTTCTTTTTAATTGGCGTGGCATTTTTATAATTTTATAAAAAAATCTAAGGAAAAAAAACATGCAAACAAAATATTTATTATTATTGGCACTTGGTGTTGTACAAAGATTTTTTTTCAATCTACAGCCTCTATAACGGCCTCCATTCTATAACGCACTGTAAATCAGAAATCAAATTTTTACTATATAAAATCTTACTCTATAACGGTTTTCTTAATTAAATTTCCTATAGTGTATAACGGCCAGCCTCTGAAAATTCTCTAATATGTTTTATATGTTGTCTACATATGTAAACTCGATAAGTCGGTTTTGGCCTAACTCGGCCAAAAATTTTCGCCCCGTTTTTTTACTATTTAAAAAAGTTCGATAAGTCGGTCAATCTATATATATTAATATAAAGTCGCGATAAGCGCTAAGTCGGTCAATCACTTAGCCCAAGTATAATTAAATGAATCGCGATAAGTCGGTCTCACGTGATATCTCATTATGTAAAGGGTCATCATTACTATTTTAGTAACGTAATATTTCGTCATTAGCAATAAAATATCTGATGTAAAAACTCTTTATTGTTAATTTTTATGTCATTAATTGTATCAATTTATTATCTCATTTATAATTTAGAAGGAAGAGAGCATTCTCACTTGTGAACTACAATTATGTGTTATGATAATGTATTAATATTTTATTATCTCAGCAGTTATATCATCAATTGTATCATTCAAATAATTCAAAGAACATTATTGTATTGCAAACAATACATCTATATTTTTTTATCTCATTTTTATATCATCAGTTATATCATTGATGTAGTCTGAAGAAAAATACATTCATATTCTTATAAAATTTTATTATGTTCAGAAATATGTATAAAAAGGTTGATTTTGCAACCTAATGTTTGAGATAAAAAAATCAATAACATATAAATAATAAATAAACATTTTAAAAATTTCAAAAAATTGTAATTGTTTACAATAAATACTTAACATTAACCTTTCAAAACACACATTATAGAACCATAATTATGAGCACTGAAGGATCATCTAGTAAATGTGGCAGTAAAAGGGGAGTGTTAAACACTCTTACAGCTATTAAAAAAAAGAAATTATGTGAATATAAAAATGCCAACCCAAATAAAACCCATGAAGAATTTGCTAGATTATTTGAAATCAGTAAATCAACTGTTGGTGGTATTTTGAGAAACAAAGATAAATGGCTTACAGTTACAGAAAGTGATGCAAATAAAAAATGTGATTGTGGAGGTGAATGGCCACAGTTAGAGGAAGCATTGGTGATTTGTGTGAATCTTGACAACAAAGCTAACCATACAATAACTGGTGCAATCCTGTGTGAAAAAGCAGTACAGTTTGCTCAAAGGCTTAATATTTCCAATTTCAAGTCATCACAAGAAAATATCAATTTTTTTTCATAGCGTTGCTAAATGTAACGGGTGGTTATATAATGAGTTGCCTGAGTTAGAAATTAATTTTTTTCTTACGTACCAGATCTAAATGCAAACTCTGGTAACTAGTTATATATAACTACTGTTATGTTTAGTAATTATTTTGATAATTTTTATTAAATATCTATTATTGTTTTTAAAAAAAGAAATAACATTAAAGAACATTATAAATCAGGAAAAGCAGCAAGTGCACCAATTAATGAATTACCTGCATTTAGAACTGAACTACAATCTACAATTGCAGAATATGTTTTGGAAGATGTGTACAATGCATATGAAACTGGACTCTATTGGAAACTAGAACCTCATAATTCTCTTGCTACTACTGGATTAAAGAACCCAAAAGATAGTCACTATAATGCTTGCATGTAATGTAATCGGAACTCATAAATTACCTCCAGTATTCATTTATAAATATAAAAATCCACACTGCATTCATAACATTGATAAAACAACACTCCCCATTTGGTACTACTGGAAAAGCTCATCATGGATGCAGCGTTCTATTTTCCAAAAGTGGATCAGACAGTTTAATCAAGAAATGTGGAGAAAAAGAAGGAATATTTTATTGTTAGTAGATAATGCTTCTTCACACCAATTGGAAGAAGGTGAAGAGTTAAGTAATATTAAATTACATTTTCTTCCACCAAACACAACCTCTCACCTTCAGCCAATTGATCAAGGCATAATAAGATCATTTAAAGTAATTATTAATTTTTTTTTAAATATAAATTTTTTTCTTGCTTTAATTAAAAAATTTTACCTTTATTTTTTTGTATTAGGCTCATTACAGAAAATTATTATGTCAAAATAGGATTGAAGCTTTTGACGAACACCAAGAACTTGACATTGAGATTCCTAAATTAAATATTTTAAATGCAATTAATTGGACAGCACAAGCTTGGAGCAATGTAACTGATGACACTATATACCGTTGTTGGCAAAGAACAGGAATCTTACCTAGTGATGAAATGGAAGAATCTGATGAAATGTCTGAGTTAGAGAACGAAGAAAATATAGTACAATCACTTATTAATCAAATGGATGTTGATGATATTATAGCAAGTAATTACATTAATGTTGACTCTAGAATAGAAACAGCTGGGATAATTAATGATGATGAGATAATTGCTGCAGTACAAGAAGCACCAGAAGAGGAAGAAGAGGAAGAAGAGGAAGATATGATGAGTATTCAAATATCAAATACAATTGCCATTAATAACATCCAAAATCTATTTAATTATTTGCAACAAAATTCTGATATAAAAGTTAACAGTTCAGTAATCTCGGGATTGAGAGATTTACAACATCAAATTAGAAGAAAACAAAATGCTTCACTAAAGCAACTTACTTTAGAAGAAAGTCTTTATAATAGAAATAATCCTTAATTTTTTTTTGATATAGTTTTATTATTATTATGTTTATTATATTATGTTTATTATTATATTTTCGATGTTTATTATTATATATTTTATTTTTTATTTTAATAAATTAAAAAATCACGTGAAATTCGATAAGTCGGTTCTCTCGATAAGTCGGTCACAGGGGTCCGCCCTGACATGACCGACTTATCGAGTTTACATATGTAGTATGAGCTGAGCAACCATATCTTGCAATATTTGGCAAAAACTGTAAATGAAATTGTATTAATCAATGTTCATTCTATAATAAACTTGTAATAAAAATTAAAACTCACTTTAAAAGCAGAGACCATATTTCTTCCATTGTCTGTTGTGATAGAAATAATTTTATCATTTATATCAAATTCACTAAAAATATCAATTAATTTTTGACTAATAGCTGGTGAAGTATGAGGTGATGGAATATATTTTAGAGCTAACAACTTTTCATTTAAATTAAAATCTGGATCTACCCAAGCACATGTTATTCCTAGGTAACCTTGCTTATTTCTTGCAGTCCACAAGTCTGTGGTGCAAGAAATATATTTAGCAACAGACAAATCATGGTTTAATTTATTAAAAGAATTTGTATAGGCATTGGAAATCCATGATTTTACTTTTTTTGATTGTGGAATTGTAAATCAAGGATCTAGCAATTTGATAAAATTTTTGAAAGATTCTGATTTCAAGATATTTAGTGGTTGTAGGTCATTAATTATAAAAAAAACCAAGGCCTTTTCAAGTTGTTCTTGTTTTTGGCTTGTATGTGGTTGGTGATTTTCAAACATTTTAGTGATTGTTTTAGAAGTGTCCTACAATGAAAATTATAATAAATTGAAAAAAATTTGTTATATATATAAAAAAAATTTTTAATTGTTTTTTACTTACTTTAAACTGATTGTTCAATTTATTTTGGAAATTTTCTTTTGTTATACCATGAGCAGATAGTAAGTGTGTAATATAGTTAGATGTAGATTCACTACCACGTACTACAACATTACAATGAACAATAATATCAGAAACTTCAGAGATGTTAACTCGACAAATAACTCCTTTAGATTTTTCTCCATCCTTTACAATTTCAGTTTCTTCCATTAAGTTCCATATCCAACTTGACTTCTTAGAACCACCCTTTACCTTTCTTTTCTTTAAAATATGAGCACCAGAAGACTCCTCCCTTCTCATTATTGTATTATTACTTTCTCCTATATATTATAGTGAGTGAAGACTCTTCTTCCATTTTAAATTTAATTAATTAGATGAATTTATTTGATGTGAGTAAATTTTATTTTGATTCTGTAAAGAATTAAGAATTACTTTAAAACAAATTAAACACTACTACAAACAAATATTTTAATTGCGGTAAAAATATAAGTTTATTCTTTATTCTTTTTAAATAATAATTACAGGAAAATACAGATAATCTCATCTATCTGAATATTACTAAACATAATTAGCAAAAATACTTAAAATATAAAATTAATTTGTTTGCCATTAATGTTTAGTTATTTTCTTAATTTGTATATATGATGAAAATGTAAATTGTTACAAATTCAGTTGCACAAAATATTGATTATCAGTTATTCACTGAATATTCATTTTTAATTTATTATATTTGGTCAATCATTCAATGAAAAAATCAAATATCCGATTAACCAAATATTCACTGAATATTCACTGAATATTATTCATTGGGTGCAACTTCTAGTTCAATCCCATGGAAATGGGCCAACATACTGAGAGTCAGTGATTTGCCAAACCGGCACGGTCGCAGGAAAAGCATAACTGGATCTTTGAAATAGCTGAGTGTTGATATGTATTGAGTTCTGTCAAAATATGCATATTCAGGATCAGCACAAAGCACACCAAAATTGCTCAGTGCATTGACAGGGAAGTATTGAAAGATGCTAGAATTAATGGCAAGTGTAGATGCCTTGTAATCTAGTGTATAGTGAATTATGTGAGATTTTTTCAGAATGGGTCCATCTAAATTGAGATTTAAAAAAGGTCACTGAATATACATATTATCATGGTTTTGAAAACAAAATATTTGGTTATTATCATTTTACCTTCATCTGCTTGTATTTTTACATTGCCTTCAC